AGTGAGAGGTGTAGGGTGTATTTGTGTTACATTGTGAACGACCGAGCAGAACAAGTGCAAAGGTGGGTGAGAAGGGAGCCAGATATGTGTTAGAGTGGATCCTCTGTAGTCTCTCTGGTGAGAGGTTTAGGGTGTATTTGTGTTACATTGTGAACGACCGAGCAGAACAAGTGCAAAGGTGGGTGAGAAGGGAGCCAGATATGTGTTAGAGTGGATCCTCTGTAGTCTCTCTGGTGAGAGGTTTAGGGTGTATTTGTGTTACATTGTGAACGACCGAGCAGAACAAGTGCAAAGGTGGGTGAGAAGGGAGCCAGATATGTGTTAGAGTGGATCCTCTGTAGTCTCTCTAAGGTGGATGAGAAGGGCGGGGCAGATTGAGAGACGTGGATGGGATTCTATGTAGTGATGTCACGAATCGTTCAGTGAGAGGTGTAGTACATTGCTGTGGTATATTGTAGGGTGTTTCTGTGTTACATTGTAGTATATTTCTGTGTTACATTGTAGCGTATTTATTGTATTACATTATAGCGTATATATTGTGTTACATTGTAGCGTATTTATCGTGTTACATTGTAATGTATTTTTTTGTATTACAATTTGTATTTTTGTATGCAATGTATTTCTGTGTTATTATTGTACTATATTTATGTGTTATATTGTACTATATTTCTGTGTTATATTGGTGCATATTTCCCTGTTACATTGTAGCATATTTCTGTTCTCAGTGTTGGAGTGTTCTGGTGTTCAGTCATGTTCAGAGTGTCAGTTGCACCCAGGCTGTGCTTGGTGTGACGACGCCAGCAACACGGGCAAAGGACGCTGCATGCGAGGGGGAGCCACCGGTACTCTCGCAGACGCTGACCACAATGAAGAATGTCTAGCAGAAAACTGGCATTTCATAGGCTGCCCCGGTGAGTAGCCGGCGCCTGTATCATGTTTGATTGATTAATTATATTATTTATTAATGATACATTGCAATTAAGAACCATGCTATATATTACTAGCCTTTAATGAAGCTATTATCCATGTAATCAAGATGTAATCTGCATGTATTTATCTATCGATATAATTATTCCACATAAAACATGTAAGAGGTTATGGTTAACAATCATTCATCAAACCGGTAACACGTATAAAACACATCGTCATCGCATGTCGCTGGTGTGACGTCGTCTTCATTTCATCTGCATTGCAGCAAACTGTTTGGAATTACTCGCATACTATAAAAATAAAGTTTATCTCAGTTAGATCCAAAATAAGTTATAAATACTTACACTGACGAAATTTTCCATCTCTCTGATAAACTTTTTGCATCTAACTGAGGTCAACATTATTTTTATGTGAACTATAGAGATCCGATGAAGTTATTCAATCATTTACTCGTGTAATGTTTCGCTGCCTTGTCTCTGTCAGCTTGCCTCACTGATGACGTTTCTTCCTGCAGCGTGTCAGTGTAACGGACACAGCATGTGTACTAACGACAGTGTGTGCATCGACTGCGCCGTCCCCACCGAGGGAAAGCACTGTGACGTGTGTCAGTCCGGTTACTACGGCACTCCACTCAATGGAGCAAACTGCACTGGTACGTGCCGGCAATAAGTGATATCGGAAAGTCCAGCTGTGCTATTTAGGTCATAGAAAAGGGGGTATAAAATTGCCGAGGCGCGCTTAGAAAAGTACATGATTAATGTAAAAGCTCGTGCGTTTTTAGTTTTTGCATTAACACAAACATTGCAAAATATCCCAAATGACCACAATCATATTTGTAAATATTTCTGTAAACAGAAACGCACCTGTGAATTGAAGTACGGTGTTAGTGAAGAGAATTATAGATAAAAAATCTAGACTAGTCCTATCCTAACCATGTTATAAAAGGGCAACTTATACCCCCTATTATCTGATCTCAATATGGCGGCGGGGACTTTCCGATATGGCTTATACATGTAGTCACGCGTGTGTGCGAAGTGCTGTTCGAAATGCACTGAAATTCGAGGACTGTGGGTGGGGGGGGGGAGGCTTTCTGCATTGCCTTGTGGTGGGAGAAAGTTTGAGTGAATGTGATCTAAACCAGAATTACACGAACGCAATGATAATGAGCGGGAACAAATGATCTTTGGGATCTACGAATGGAATCCAGCCACACTAACAATTAGGAAGATTAAAACATCAAAAATAAGCATTATTTATGAATAGGTGAACGTGCATCCGTGCCTTCACGTAAAAACAGACACTGCAGTCAGAGGTCCGTGTTCAGAGTTTTTGGCAGTTTTGGCCATAAAAACCTGGTGCCTAACTAAACAGGGTTTAGTTAATCGCTGTTATTCGCTGTCTGATCAGTAATTAAATCGAATCGTTGTCGTGATTGTGTTTCAGAGTGTGAGTGTAACGGTCATGGAGATCTGTGTGACAGGGTGTCTGGCAGATGTTTCTGCACAACGAAGGGCATTGTGGGACACACGTGCAACCGGTGCGACGAACCCAACAGCTACGACGGGGATCCACTAGATGGCGGCACGTGTTACTGTACGTATTCTACCAAGCAATTCCATTTTCTTAATAATTTTCCCCCGAAATAATCGACCAACATCGTCGATAATCGACTATATATCAATGATATAGATGTTTGCATTGTAGATTTTTTGAAGGGCAGATTTTAACCAAAAATACTTTTAATCAAAAAAATGTCGGCTAAACAAAACGTTGATGTTCCGTTATTAGGGCACAGATTGTCAGCTGTTCTTTCGTTTCCTCCCTCCACCACCTCTCCATGGACGTCTGAGCCTCCGCTTCCTCCGTCGCTGCGGTCGACCCCATGTGTTCGTCCGTTCATCCTGAATGGCTTCACCCTTTCCTCTCATCTTTACGATTCCTCGTCCTGGTTGTTGCGGATGCTGGCGGAGCATTGATCGTTGCTGCGGGGGAGTGCTGAGAGAGGGAGAGGGAGGGTGGACGGTTGCTACTGCAGGAGCAAGAGGAAGCAAGGAGCCTGTGGCGGTCTCACCACACCATCACTCTTCTTCTCACTCCTTCTTCTCACTTATTTTTGTAGATAATTTATCCATAGGCTACCAGTACATGTTTAATCTGACCAAAGAACGTGACGAGTATTACACTCAGATAAACTTCAATATCAGTATGATGAAGGTAATAACACGCTGTTCTGTGTGCATGCGAACGCTCGCTCTCTGTCAGCCTCCTTCCCTCCCTTCACTGTATCTCACACTCTCAATCCCTCTACTCTCTCTCTCTCTCTCTCTCTGTCTTTCTCTCCGTCTTTCTCTCTCACTCTCTTTTTTTGTCTCTCATTTTCTCCTTCTTTCTCTCTCACTCTCTCTTTTGCTCTCTCATTCTCTCACTCTTTCACTCTTGCTCTCTTTCTCACTCTACCTCTCTTGCTCTCTTTCTCACTCTCTCTCTCTCGCTCGCTCTCTTTCTCACTCTCTCTCTCGCTCTCTTTCTCACTCTACCTCTCTCGCTCTTTTTCTCCCTCTACCTATCTCGCTCTCTTGCTCACTCTACCTCTCTCACTCTCTTTCTCACTCTTTCTCTCTCGCTCTCTTTCTCGCTCTACCTCTCTCGCTCTACCTCTCTCACTCTACTTATCTCACTCTACCTATCTCACTCTATCTTTCTCACTCTACTTTTCTCACTCTACCTCTCTCGTGCTCTTTTCTCTTCTATCACTCTCTCGCTATCTCTCTCACGCACATATACGCACACACACACACACGCGCGTGCACGCACGCACACACGTGCATCCATACACACGTGCGCACACACACATGCGTATGCGCTAGGCCATAACCAGCCTCTCTCACTTCTCTATCACTCCTCTCCTGCCCTCCCCCCATCCTCCCTCACCCCATCCTCCCTCCCCCATCCTCCCTCACTTCGAGTCTTGCTCTCCCGCAGCATGTTCATATGACTGCTAGACGTTATCTAGGTATAGTCTCAGATCCTAGACGCTACGTGCATGGATGCGTTGCTAACCCGTGAAGTGTTATTGCTAGGAGTCCAGCTGCCTTTCTCCTGCATCCTATTCGTGTTTACTCGCAACAACCTAGTTGAAGCTCGTGATGTGTTATCCGCATCCGTGCTTGCTGTTTAGCCGTGTTGATGGCTAATGCTTGTACTAGCTACCCTGCAGCTTGCTAGCTGTGCTGCTGTTACTGTCCGTGTTTGTGAATCCATAGTTGGATGCAGGCTGACTTGGTAGATGGAGATCGTTGGTGAGTCATGTGTTCCTCACTCTCCTCCTCTCTATATTTTATTACCCGGCTAATTTCTCTCCTGTGCCTTCTTTCCTGCACCTGTTCTTATGTTGTCAATTTGCCATCCGTTTGTCTTCCTGTCAGTCTTCCTGTCTTGATCACTCGTTGTGTTGTATCACCTCCACATGTCTCTGTCTCCACCTGTCTCCATCTGTCCCTCCCTCCCTCCCTCCCCCTCCCTCTCTCTTACCCTCTACCTCCCCGTGTCTCTCTCACCATCTGTCTCCATCTCTCTCTTTCTTTCTCTCTCCCTCTCTCCCTCTCTCTCTCTCTCTCTCTCTCTCTCTCTCTTCTCTCTTGCTGGCTCTCTCTCTCTCTCTCTCTCTCTTTCTCTCTCTCTCTCTCCCTCCCTCCCCGTGTCTCTCTCACCATCTGTCTCCATCCGTCTCTCTCTCTCTCACCCCTCCCTTCCCTCCCCCTCTCCCTCTCTCTTACACTCTGTCTGTCTCCACATATCTTTCTATATTCACCCACCACGAACATGCTTAGATATGCTAATGGTAGCGTGCTGTGCTAGGGTCTTGCAGTTTGTGATTAATTGATGTGTAGGTGTGTAAGTAGAAACTCCCCCTGCCTGCCTGCCTGCCTGCCTGCCTGCCTGCCTGCCTGCCTGCCTGCCTGCCTGCCTGCCTGCCTGCATGCCTGCTTGCCTGCCTGCCTGCCTGTCTGTCTGCGTGCCTGCCTGTGCATCATGCCGCAAGTAACAGTTTTGTGAATTTTGTTGTTCTCTTTGTAGATTTGCTAACGATTGACTACCAGTTCACGTTTAATCTCTCAAAACCTGAAGATGCCCACTATTCAGCTATAAGCTTTCAGAATTCCCCTCAGAAAGTAAGTGACTCTCGCGAGAGAAGTTCAGCGTGTGTCGGTGGCGGGTATTTGATCGAGGTCGATAGATATTCGATTACTATTCATGATGTCACTTGAACACAGTGACTGTGTTGCTGCTAGTGCTTCATCCATAGATGTCAGCAATAGATGTGAGGTAGGGCAAAAATATACGAATTCAACCACTTCCTACGAGTTGTGATGTTGTGATGCGTACAAGCACATTGAAAACAAGAACTCAATACACTTCACGAGCATTATATTCAAACTGTGCATTTTGCATCGCGGTGACAGTCTGGTTAGTAAATGTGTTGGGTAATAGATATAACTCGTGCTACTAATGTAAGTATAGCACCTGCATGTTGCCAGTATGTAACGCCATGACAACGTTGCTTTCAGCATGACTTAAAGCTAATTTCTGTGTTTATGCACTTGAATGTTGAATATCGTAATTGATGTGTATTGATCGGTCGTTTTGAATTATTCGATCAAAGTTTCTACAACAAATTCAGCTATTTAATGACTAAGAGGCATGTGAAATATATCAATAATTGTTTTCAGGTTAAAAAAATATTTGATAACTGTTCAATAGTAATGATACTGTATCTGATAACACCAGGAGCTAATAATGACATTATTAGCTCCTGATAACATCTATGTCGGGAGAAAGAAAGACACGGTATACAATCTTAAGGTTGTTCGTGCTGATCGTACTGTGTGTGTGTGTGTGTGTGTATCAACTCTTTCTGTGACGACTCTTGCAGCCAGGGGAAGATGTGGAGTTCTCAATCACCTGCTCAGGAGAAGCCCGGGTCAATATCACGTGGAAAAATGGTGAATGAGTTACTAGTGCACTCTGGTGGTGAATAAATAAGTTACTATCGCACTTAGGTGGTGAATAAATAAGTTACTTACTAGCGCAATCAGGTTTGCTGGTAATTTTGTACATATAGCTGGTTGTCGTTGACTGGAACTGCTTGTGTGTGTGTTTGATATTGTAGGATGTAGCCTACAGCCGACAGTTATATTTGTAAGCCTAACGTTTGTTCTGCTATCCTCCGCATCGTCACCAACGCATTTCGTACGCTGTGTCTAGATCTCAGCGATGGAGAGAATCCTATTTATGCGAACGCGTGTACATTCTACGAGACGACGTTTAGTCAGCACATGTTCAACTTTGGAGAGAATAATCTCACCTTTTACGTATACGTCTACAACTTCACGACTCCATTCTGGCTCAAGGTAGGCAGTGCTGCCATCTACTGGATGTGAAATGCTAGATTCAGGTTTAACTCGAACAATGAGAAGACAATGGAAGGCTGTCGTAGCGATGAATGACTCATTTCATACCCTCGGGTGCTATTAGTTAATTAGCTGTTAATTTAATTAGTGACTATTAGTTGCTGTTTGACGTGTTTAGCAAAGTTAACGAGTTAAGATGTTTGAAACGCTGTTAGGGAAACCTCGTTGCATTTCGAAAACGAGGAAATGCGTTAAAATATAATAGTTGTATATAATATGTAAATGATAAAATAGTCTTGCCCATGATAACTTTAACGTTCTGTCACGTCTGCTTCCAGATTGCAATCTCACAGAATAACCCGATTGATCTGCTACAATTTTTCGCGATATTTTTCGGGTAAGTATCGGAGAAATGCATTGTGGGAGTGCTGAGCTATCATGCTGCCACCTGGTGTGTGTGTGTGTGTGTGTGTGTGACTAGTTAAACATTATTATCTCACTTTGTTGAAATCGTAATCTTTCTTTGTATATCGTGGATCGTAATTTGTCAGGTTTGTAATTTATAATTAAATATTTAAGTGGAACAATCTACTCTCACTTAATTGCTGTTTTCATGATACTACGCGTATTCCGGGAAAACCTGCAGTGCATAGTGCAGCATATATATATTATTAAAAATTAATAATTAATCATTAAAAAATATATATTATTATATATATCATTAAATATATTATTAAATAAATTTATTTTAACTAGCCGATAGCTTGATCGATTTTTAATCGCACGATAGAGCTTTGCCAGTCACAAGGCGAAACTCATAACTCTTATATGTTCATGTGTGCGTGCAACTGCTGTTAGAATTGCATTCTTTGGATGGAACTGGTGTCGGAATTTCAATAGTTGTCACGCTAGGGATTCTTACATAACTGATTCCTGCACCATGCTAATGGTTGTGCTTTAAACTAACTCTCCATATGCCAACTGAATGCGCTGGTTTACCAGGTGGGGTAGCCATGATAGTTTATGGAAAGAAATTGGTTAATTTTCTGGGAGAAACCACGCCAAGTTAGGAGGGCAATCGGGGCATGTGTAGCCGTTACCGTGACAATATTCCAGTCCCTGGTTACCTCGAGTACCCCACACTCTCGCTAACAATCCCTCCCTCTCCCCCCGAGCATTTCCACCCCGAGCGTATAAGGATAACGTTTGCTTTGCCTGTAGTTCGGTTCTTCTGCCGCCGCCGTCGTTGCCGTGGGTTACTAACGCTACGTCTGTCCTCCTCACTGTCTCTCTGCTTGCAGCTGCTTCTTGCTTCTGCTGCTCATCGCGGCTGCTGTGTGGAGGTTGAAGCAGAGGTACGACATGTACAGACGCAGACAGGTGAGTCGCACACACGCACGCACACGCACGCACGCACACGCACACACACACACGCACACACACGCGTGCTTTCTCTCCCTTACAGCGTGTTCTTAGCACTGCTGCTGATCGCTGCGGCCGCATGGAAGTCGAAGCAGGTATACAACGTGTACCAGCGTAGACAGGTGAGTGGAGGGCGTGTCACGCGAGGGTGGGGGTGTACCGAGCGGTAGACAGGTGA